TTTTTTATTACTACATAAAGTGAACTACCATATGAAAAAAGCTGTGTCTAAATGAGAGAGAGTACCTCACATTAAGCTGACATATAATAAATATTTTTAAAAGAATGTGATAAAGAGACATTTAAGTAAAGAACTATAAGGAACAGAAGTACTTGGGGTCAGAGAGTGGCATAATAATTAAGGCACCAGACTCCCACATGGTCGACCACAGTTCAAGTCCAGGAATCAGTAGCTTGAAAATCACACAGGCGTGTGTATGTACATACCCAAAAACTGAACAGGAGAATGGAGAGGAGACTGTGGCGTGGCTATTCCCCTGGGGGGTGATTTCTCATTTTCCCTCTCTCTGTTTCTGCCTTCGGCAAGCGCATGCAACCTATGGCAAAACCTTAAAAAAAAAAAAAAAAGAAAGAGAAAGAAAGAAAAGAAAAAAAAGTACCACCTTGAGAATATGCATGGGTTCCTCACTTACTAAATCCTGTATTTCTATAGGTCCTTACTATTTATAACTATGTATCTTTTTTTTTTTTTTGAGAGGTTTTCGCTATAGGGCGCATGCGCTGGCCAGACAGAGACAGAGATAGAAAGCGAGAAATCACCCCCCAGGGGGGATGGCCACACCGCAATCTCTTCTCCTCCATTCTCCTCTCGGATCCTGGGCACGCATGCACACGTGCCCGGCGTGGGTTTAAGCCACCGGGTCTGGGACTCAAACCACGGTCAACTACAAAGGAGTCCAGCGACATAGCTGTTATGCTAACTGCTGGTCTCTATAACTATATATCTTCATTACTCCGTATGCATCAGTCACCAGAGTGACTGGTTAAAAAAAATTATAGATGGAGGCCGGCAGGTGGCGCAGTGGTTAAGGGCACTGGACTACCACATGGCAAACTGCGGTTTGAGTCTCAGGCCTGGTGGCTTGCTTTCTCACTTACCTGCCCTCACTCTGTCTCTCTCTGAAGTTAAACAAAATTAATTCTTTAATAAAAAAATCTGTATGTATATGTACACACACACAGAGACATATACACATACAGAAAGTCTTACATTCTCTCCCTGTGATATTACTACAACAGCTATGGATTAGGGAGATTCTAAAAATGACCCCAATGTGCAGAAAACTTTGAGAACTGCTGATTCATATTACTCAGCAATCACATGACATGTTTTCTCAGCACTGTTTTTATTTTTTCATATCATATAGCATCATCCCATAAGATTTTTTTTTAAGTCTCTCTTTTTTTTTTTGGAGAGGTTTTTGCTATAGGGCGCGTACGCTCGCCAGACAGAGACAGAAAGCGAGAAATCACCCCCCAGAAGTGATGGCCATGCTGCAATCCCTTCTCCTCCATTCTCCTTTCAGGATCTTGGGCACGCACGCACACGTGCCTGGCGTGAGTTTAAGCCACTGGGTCCAGGACTCGAACCGCGGTTGACTTCGTGGGAGTCCAGCGACATAGCCATTACGCAAACTGCTGGTCCCATGCCCATAAGATTTTGAGAGAGAAACTTCCTTGGATAAATTCTTTTTTGAAAGAATTATTTAATTTTATTTAGCTTTTTTTTTTTTTTATTTGCTACATGACATGTGCACTCACCAGAGAAAGAAAGAGAGAGAAAGAGAGAGAGAGAGAGAAGGGAGCCACCAGGTCCAGGGCTTGAACCAGGGGGGTTAGCTGTGTGGGAGGGAGTCCAGTACTTTAACCACCACACCATATGCTGAGCCTAAATTTCTGTTTTTTTGAAGAGAGATTTTTGCTGTAGGGTGCATTCACTTGCCGGAGAAACAGAGAGAGACAAAAAAGTGAGAAATCATACACACATGCACCTACCCACCCTCCCCCCCAACCCCCAGGGATAATGGCCTCATTGTAATCCTTTCTCCATTCTCCTCTTGGGATCTTGGGCATACATGCATGGGGCTTGCTTGAGTTTCAAGCTGCCAGGTTTGGGACTTGAACCATGGTCTACTCTGTGAGACTCCAGTGACTTAACCATTATGTCATCTGCTGGTCTCTTGTATAAATTGTAGTAAATACCAAACTCCAACACACAGAGTGAACGGAGAATGTTACTTGTGACTCTCTCGCTCATTTTTTTTTTTTTTAAAGAGGTTTTTGCTTTAGGGCACGTGTGCTTGCTGGGGAAAGAGACAGAGACAGTGAGGGAAAGTGAGAAATCACCCCCTGGGGGAATGGCCATGCTGCAATCCCTTCTCTTCCCTTCTCCTCCAGGGATCTTGGGCAAACACGCACCTGTGCCTGCCATACTTTTTAATTCATTGGGTCTGGGACTCAAACCACAGTAGACCATATGAGACTCCAGCAACATAACTACCCCGCCATCTGCTGGCCTTGTGGCTCTATTTTAAAAAGTGTAAGATGTATTATTATTGAAACCAGCAGATGGCATAATGGTTACATCACTTGACATCCACACAGTCAACCATGGTTTGAGTCCTGGACCCAGTGGCTTGAGACATGTGCGTGTGTGTTCATGCCCCAAATCCCAAGAGGAGAATAGAGGACAAGGGATTGCAATGTGGCCATCGCCCCAGAGGGTGATATCTCACCTTCTGTCTCTATTACTGTCTCTCCGGTGAATGCACACGTCCTATAACAAAAGACCTCTCTTAAAAAAAGATGTCGAGCCTTCTACTTTTTTCCTTTTTACACAGATGGAGAAACCATAGAACCAAAGGGTAAACTGATAAATGGTCACACAAGGAGTGGCACAGCTGGATGATTTCCAGTCTCCTGGTTCTCATCCTTGGGCTCTGTTATACCATATATCAGTGTTGCTGATAAGAATATCCAGAAGATACTTGCTGCTATGGTCAAAAATGCCATTAAACCATGGGGCTTCATTAATGAAAATTTTGGTAGCAAAATTAATCTATCCTATATATCTGGGATACCTTAGATAATTATGCTTACTACACTTAACAGGCATGCTGAAAGTCAGAAAAGGGTCCCTTAAAATGATTAGGAGGGAGATGGGGGCCAGATAGAGGCACAGTGGTAAAACAATGCTCTGTGACGCAATTCATCATGGGAAGGTTCCTGGTTCAAATCTGGAGACCTCTGTCAGAATGCTGGGCACACACCTGCCCATGATTTAGAAGTGGTTCAATGCTTAGTATGGATAGCAGTGTCAGAACAGTATTAGGGATGTGTATGCACGTGTACTCTCTCAGAATAAATATATGTATTTTTAAAAAATGATTACGAGTGGGGCTAGCAGGTGGCATGGTGGTTAAGGTGCTAGACTCCCACATACCTGACTGTGGTTCGAATCCTGAATCCAGCAGCTTGAAATTCATGCTGGGTACATGTGCCTGCATGTCCAAAATCCTGAAAGGAGAATGGAGGAGAGGAATGTGGCATGACCATTCCTCCTGGAGGCTGATTTCTCACTTTCTCTCTCTCTGTGTCCCCGGCAAGCTCAACATGCCCTATAGCAAAAAACAAACAAATAAAAAAAACTCTCTTAAAAGAATAAAATGATCTGGGAGGCAAGCTGGTAGTATGATGGTTAAGGCACTGGACTCCCACATGGCTGATAATGGCTCAAGTCCTGGACATAGTGGCTTGAAAATCATGCTGGGAACATATGCCTGTGTGCCCTAAATCCCAAGAGGAAAATGGAGAAGTGACTGAGGCGTCTCACTTCTAGCCCTCATCACTCTCCATCTCTCTCTAGTGAGCACACACCATATAACAAAAACCTAAAAAAGAAAAAAAGATTAGGAGGAGAATTTGCAATCTTGACTAGTTAATAGTTAAGAGCCTGGAAGTTTCTTGTTCCTGGAAATTGGATGTGCTTCTAGTGGGTGTTTTTTCAATCAGTAAGCTCATTAGGCTCAGGCAGAAATCTTTCACACTATAAATCTATGAGAGAAATTACCTTGTACTGGACAAGATATTTAAGTTTGATTTAAATCCTTGGTTCCAGAGTATACTTGACAATAAAAGCACCTTACCTAATGATTTCAGCATATTCTTTGTCTTTTCCTTTACTGTCCCTCCATTTCCTGAACATAACCGAAGCATCCACATTGGCTGGGGAGAAGGTGTTGGGCTCATTAAGCAGTGAGATTACACTTAATAGGATAGTCCTAGAAACGGGGAGGGGAAAAAAAGGTCAGTTATGAATACCCATATCCACAGTATTCTGCTTTTTAAGAAAGTACAATCAGGTTTTATGTATTCCCTCAAAATTTTTCTGAAACAATATAATTTGAGACTATAATAGCTGAGGCCCTAGGGGAATGGAAACAGACCATCATAGAGTTGTGTCTTCATTACTCGGCTGGCTAGGCGAGACGCATGCTGCTAAATGGGAACAAATCAGAACATCTGAATCTAGTATTATAGACCAAGTGGCAGGGAGTAAAATAAACTCTACAGAAGACAATCTCTACCTACTACATGCTCCAGTCTGTGAAAAGTAGATGTCTTGAAGTTTTTAAATAGTCTATATTAAAAATTCACAAATTAAGTAGAATGGGGAGAAAAGCATAAAATACTTTCAGCCTCAAAGCAATTTTTTCATGGGAGAGGGTAGAAATGATGCTATTTTATAAATCCAACTTTTTTTTGAGAGAGAGATTTTCGCTATAGGGCGCGTGCGCTCGCCAGACAGACAGACAGAGACATAGAGACAGAAAGCGAGAAATCACCCCCCAGGGGGGATGGTCACGCCGCAATCCCTTCTCCTCCATTCTCCTTTCGGGATCTTGGGCACGCACGCACACGCTCCCGGCGTGAGTTTTAAGCTACCGGGTCCAGGACGCGAACCGCAGTCGACTACGTGGGAGTCCAGCAACATAGCCATTATGCTAACTGCTGGTTCCCAAATCCAACTTTTAATGTGGCCACTAAAAAGACTTTAAAAAACATTATTGCGTATAAATGTATTATCTCCATATTGGTAAGAAAGATGAAATTAAACATGAGAATGGAGGAAAAGCAAAAGCCTTCACATGAAATAACTAGTTTCTAAGTAATAGAAATTTTCCTGCCATGATATTTACCTACTATGTGCCAGAGGCACCAGGTGGGAGGCTGGCTGAGCAACCGGAGAGCAAATTAGAAGCCATCTTGGTCTCCCAGGACTTAGCAGTCTACTGGGAGATACAAACAGGCATTTCTGCCTACAGACTTTTAAAAATTAAAGGTTTTGACCGATCAATTATAGGGAATAAAGTTTCTGTTAGATAAAGTGACCAAGAAAGCATGACTAATTAAAAAAATGTTCCAAATCATTTCTAGGTCTTTTCCCTAAAAGCTAAGTGCATGTTATTTAAGAGAAAAATGGAAGGAAAAATTAAATTTATCTTTTCTCACTGGTACAAAGTAATAGTGTTACTATAAATAGCTTTTGGCTTCTGGGCCCAAGCAAAAAAAGTAAAGGGAGGGAATGAGGTAATTAGCTATTTGGTTTGATAAAACTTTCTTCTGAAATGAAGAGTTTCTTTTATGTGATTATATAAGATTATGACAAAACATTCTCAGCTACCTAAAATCTATCACACGCACCCTTTCTATTAAGTTAAGAGTAATTCCTTTGTTCTCCCCCTTCCCCAAGAGCTCTCTGGAGTTGTTCAGTAATTATATTAAAAAGATTTAAAGAAACTCCATCACTGCCAACAATGGAAACAACTGACATAACATCCTAGAAGTGAAAGAAAAACGTGGGTACACTATTAGGTAAGGTTTCTTTAGAAGAAAACATACACAATACCTATTATAAAGACATATATGATAGAGACAAAATAAGGTATAAAGTGAGGATTTTTTCCTATTTCCAAAATCCTTTCCAGAGGGCCTGGAGGGAGTCACACCTACAAATATTAATGTAGAGTAAGTCCTCTTGTCTCTGTTAAAGTAAATCACAGACATTCTTTTGATGATCTCTTCTGGAATTTCAAACTCACCTATAACCTATAAGCCTTCACTTACAGATGTCCCACATTTTTGGGACCTCCATATAAAGGACTCCTTATACTGACTGACAACTCTCCTATTCTCAGAACTATAAAGGAAACCACATCTGGGGCTGGCGGGTGGTGTGGTGGTTAAGAGTGCTAGACTACCACACAGCTGACCAGTTTAAGTCCCGACCGAACCTAGCAGCTTGTTTTCTCATTTTTCTTCTCTCTCTCTCTCTGTCCCTTTCTGGTCAAATAAAAGTAAAAAAAGTTAAATAAAATATATGTGTGTGTGTGTGTGTGTGTATAAATATATATAAATATATTTATATATATACACACATACATATACATATATACACACACACACACACAATTTAAAAATATATACATATATAAATAAACCACATCTCAGCACCCTGAGAAACACACTTGTCATTCTCCAAGCATTGTCACTCAATTTTGTGCTAAGTAATAAACCATATTAATTCTACAGAGACAGCTATCTCTATTACATGGTAAGTTTGCCTATAAACAAGGCCAATATAGATTAGAGTAGAATTGACATTTTTTGCTCTAACAAAAATCCCATGCAAAATTTATATGTAATACCCTTATCAGAATTTCCCAAAAAGTATGTTGTTGAGTGGATAACAGGTCTTTTCAGGCAGTTGGGTAGGTGGGAACTTCAACAGCCTGAGACTATGGAATACTAACTTCTTGCAAAAGGAGCATTTTCAGTTTACTGTGATTTACAAATACTATCTTTTTCATTTTCTATGTGTACCATGACTGGAAAAGGTTGGGAAACAATGTCATATATAGTTTAAATTGTCTATTGCTTGCACCAAAGTAATTTAAAACAGCCATTACACCTGTAGTTAACAACTCCACAAGGCAAGTGTTAACCCTATTATATTGTTAGAATATACAAAACAGAATTTGAATTCAAGAGCTATTCCAACCACTACCTTGTTTACTATTGTCACACTATTTTTTTTTTGTTTCAATACAAATTTAAAATCCTTCTTCATTTTTTTTTTTTTTAAGGAGAAAAAACGAAGGTGGAGAGGGTTAACAATTGGTGAAACTGGACCAGCAGATGGCATAATGGCTATGTTGCTGGACTCCCACATAGTCAACCGCAATTTGTGTCCTGGATCGGTGGCTTAAAACTCACACCAGGCACATGTGCATGCATGCCCAAAATCCCAAAAGAAAGACAGAGGAGAAGGGATTGTGGCTTGGCTATCCCTGGCGGAGTAGAAGGGGTCATTTCTCACTTTCTGTCTCTGTCTCGCTGGTGAGGGCATGCACCTTTAGCAAAAATATCTCTCAGGAAAACAAAACTGGTGAAACTATGTGAAAGAAGAGAAAGACTCAAAACAAAACTATCAAATATATGATGGGTTCAATTAAACAGTCTAAAAGGTCTAGCCATGGTGGCACAGGCAGTAGGGCACTGTTGTATGATACTAGAATCACATGGGAGGTTCAGGTTCCTAGCCCAGGTTGACCTAAACACTCTAGGCATGCTCGTAACTGTGACTATGGCCCCACTGGCTGGAAGGCTAGGAATAGGATCATAACATGACAAGATCTAGTCACAGTTACCTATCTGTCTCTGTCTATACTCAGGAAAGAAACTAACTAACTAACTAACTAAATAAATAAATAAATGGACCAGCAGATGGTGCAACGGTTACATTGCTGGACTCCTGCCACAGTTCAAGTTCCGGACTTGGCAGCTAAACATTCACACCAGGTGCATGAGTGTGCATGCCTAAAATCCCAAGAGGAAAATGGAGGAGAGGGGACTGCAGCGTGGCCATCCTCCCTGGGGGGTGATTTCTCAGTTTCTGTCTCTGTCCCTCTGATGAGTGCATGTGCCCTATAGTAAAAATCTCTCTAAAAATAAATAAATAAAATATTTTAAATAAATAAATAAAACAAAGACCTTTAAAGGGATCAGTTTCCAATAGATCATGAACAAAGAGAAAATCGATCAGGAAAACAACAGCTATATACTCTTTTATTCTCCTTCTGCCCATATAAGATCACAGTGAAGTTTTGGTTTTCAGCAGTAATGTAGAGTTGTATTTGTACATTTAGACTATCTTAAAGTCCTTGGACAAGTTTCTGGGACTAGCAGAACAGATTGAATAAACTCTACTACTTTACTCTAGGTTCAAAGGAACAGGTCTGGTCTATACTAATCCAGTGGTCTATCCCAATCCAATAGCATGTATGTTTAATGTGTAGTATTACAACAAAGAACACCACCCCAGGAGGAGTTTGGGATAAGAATGAGGAATAGAGAAATCTTAGTATCTTTGGCTTATTGCAGTTCCTACCACCACCAATCCTGGAATCAGAGATATTTCTAAACATAAACCTACTTCCTCTATTCCCCTTTATGCCATGGCAAGGGAATATGGTAGGAGCTTTCAGGACAAAAGATCAGAAATAGAAAAACATATACACAAACAAACAAAAACAGAAAAATGGTGAGGATAAAAGAAGCACAGAAAGTACAGGCAAAAAAAAATCACTTTATAGTCTTCAGGTTCCTATTTCAAATTGTTTTGTCTGTTCTAGAATCTTTTTGAAGATGATTTAGCCATCTTTTTATTTTTAATTAAAACAGGTATGCAAATAATAAAAATGCTAAAAGAAAACAAAGACCAACACATATGCATATATACATATATACTGACTGGCAAACAGCAAAGCAGTAAGGTGTGAAGTTCTACAGAGCTTGGACATGTAGAAGTTTTTGTTTTTGTTTTGGAGAGGTTTTTTGCTATAGGGCACGTGCTCACCAGAAAGACAGAAAAGACAGAAAGCAAGAAATCACCCTCCAGGGGTATAGAAGTACAGGCAAAAAAAATCACTTTATAGTCTTCAGGTTCCTATTTCAAATTGTTTTGTCTGTTCTAGAATCTTTTTGAAGATGATTTAGCCATCTTTTTATTTTTAATTAAAACAGGTATGCAAATAATAAAAATGCTAAAAGAAAACAAAGACCAACACATATGCATATATACATATATACTGACTGGCAAACAGCAAAGCAGTAAGGTGTGAAGTTCTACAGAGCTTGGACATGTAGAAGTTTTTGTTTTTGTTTTGGAGAGGTTTTTTGCTATAGGGCACGTGCTCACCAGAAAGACAGAAAAGACAGA